CAATATAAAATAAGCCGCCCTGGCCAGATAAAATCCAATAATATTAACAGTTAAAATGCCGCTTAAATAAAAAGGTCTTGGCCTGGCGCCGAAAAACAAATGACGGCGGCGCCAGGCGGACCTCTCTGGGGAGCACATTCCATAGATGGGGTGCCACTGCAGAGAAAGCCCTCCTCCAAGTACCTACCCTCCTAATTTCCTTCACTGAGGGCTCCCGGAGAAGGGCCTCTCCCGCCGATCTCAGGGGGCAGCTGGGCATGTATGGACGTAAGCGCTCCTTCAGGTAGCCAGGACCCAAGCCGTTTAGGGCTTTATAGGTCATCACCAACACCTTGAATTGGGCCCGGACTTCAATGGGAAGCCAGTGAAGCTGTCGGAGGACTGGAGTCATGTGAACATAACGCCCCGTCCCCGTCAGCAGCCTGGCAGCTCTATTTTGAACCAACTGAAGTATCCGGACCCATTAGGAGTTAGTCTGTGCAGGGAGGAAAGTTGTACAACATTTCGGATTGCAGAACTTCACAACGGCCTCCACTTGTGTGTAGCTTTTGACTTGTGTTTCTTCAGGCCAGGGTCCCCTTCCCAAGCTGCATGCAAAACCCTTCGGATGCATTTATTCAACGTTTTCCTTCGCCATCCATTATCTTTAAAAAGTCTCTGGCCGGCTTGCAATGCACCTGCCGTTCTGGCGGCTGCTTCAAGGCACGGCCTTCCCTGTCGCAGAATGTTGCAAAGGATCTAAATGGCTTCTTTCCATTTCCGCTGGTAAACCTCCCATGTCCTCCCAGCACTTCTTTTTGTCCCTTTTCTTACCTGCCAAAGATCCTCAAAAGTAGGGAAAGGCAACGTGGCTGCAGGCAGAGTGCCGGCAGCCGTATATCCGGAAGGGGGAACGGGTTCTTTCTTCTCCAATGCAGGCATTGAAGTTGGGCCTCAGCCCCAGGGGGTGCTCCGAGCCGACATTCTGGACAAAATGAGGCGGATAGCCCGGCATGGCCTTGACTTTGTGCACATGTTCAATGCAGGTAAGAAACACTGGCATTATGCCACCATCAAATACCTGGCTGATCTGCTGCCGAAGGATATTTATTTATTTATTTATTTATTAAAACATTTTTATGCCACCCCATTCGCCGAAGCCTCGGGGCGGCTTACAGCAATAGTTAAAATATACATATAAAATAATCATAATAAATTAAAACACACTTTATAAAATAAGCCGCCCTGGCCAGATAAAATTCAGTTGTATTAGCATTTAAAATGTTGCTTAAATAAAAAGGTCTTTGCCTGGCACCGAAAAACAAATAACGACGGCGCCAGGCGGACCTCTCTGGGGATAAGACGCATCATTGCGGTGTAGGCTTACCTGAGAGGAAGGCTCCGGCACAGCGCTCAGGCAAGACTCTTCCAGGATACCCAGTTGCACCCGCACCACAGTTCTGTTCTTTTTTTCCAGATCACATTCACAGAGCACTGAGTTCCGATTGGCGTACTTTTAGGGAGGTTTGACCCATAGGCATTTTTAAAATATTCCCGAACTTTTTCCAATCTGGGGGTTCTCCAACACTGGCCGATACCTCCCAGCGGTTTCTCAGTGGTGCAGTGTGACCCCAATTCTGTTGGGAGTGACGACCCCTCACCCCAGGAATTTCCCTGTCCATAGACAAAGCTACAGCCTCAGAGGGGCATGTCAGACCCCCTGCATCCCCTCCCAAAGCAAGGCAGCTTCCCTTAAAATTGAAACTCTGCAAAGAAGAGTGAGGGACCAGGTACCTTGGCTTGATTTGGGCCAACTAAAATGAACTGCTAGGTATTTTGTGATGTACCTGGTACAAGAACCACAGTAGACAATCAAATCCAAATGAATAGTTTCATTTGAAAAATTGCTTTTGACATAGTTGAGTATTTGAATAGTTGCTGTTAAGTTTTTAGTCCCCTAACAATAGGTTCTTTCACAATCTTTGAAGATACGCCCTGACATCATCTGATAAATATAATTCCTAAACTTTGCAAGATGCTGATGAAAAGGAAGCGTTTTTATGAATTCCATCATTTGCAGAACGCATTATGCACTGTATAATGTGGTTAAAACCCTTCACTTCTGCTGTTCCGATAAAATTTAGGACTGTTTCATGCATCACTTCATAACTGGGTCATCTTTCAGTAACCCAAACTGCTGAAGGAGGACAATCCACAGAAAAACATCTATCTAATCATAGCATTAACTACTTACAAACTATTACTACTTTGAGGGCTTCAAACGTTATTAACAAATCTTGTATATGTCTCTCTATAACAAGAAGCTGTTTTATGTAGCATTTGATATTGTATTTCAATGTATTTTATTGTGTTGTAAGCCGCCCCGAGGCTTCGGCAAGGGGCGGCATAGAAATGTTATAATAATAATAATAATAATAATAATAATAATAATAATAATAATAATAATTCTTCCCCTCCTCTCCAAACAGGAAAACAATTCCCTCCATGCACCGTTGAGGCTTACAAAATTACAGAGAAAGTTGACTATCCCAGAAACATGGATAATGAGATCATGGCCGCCATTCACCCCAAGCTGCAGGTAAGCTTATGCCTCTCTTCTGCGTTTGTAAGGCCCACTGCTGTGCCCCATAGCTACTTCACAGGGTTGTTGTGGGGATGCGACGGAGAACAGCGGAAGCTGCTTTGAGGCCTTTGATAGAAAAAAGATGCGAAGGAAATCTAATAAATAAATATTGGACAGTGCTTTAGCAGACCCCGGTGTAGTTAAATATTCTGGACACCTTGCAGACTTGCCGAGGGCCTCCTTTCCCCCTGCTCCCACAACATCCTTTCTGTCGCCGCACTCATGAAAAACCTCTCCTCCCTTCCCTTTATATCATTAACCATGGTGCCTGCCAGAGAAACAGCTAAAAATGAAAACTATCCAAAGAAGCAGAATTAAAATTCTGGGATGGCTGTGGGCTGAAACATGCTTTAGAGCAGAGCCTTTGAAATACATAGGCTTAAAGTTAGTCATTTCTAACTCGGGACCTGCTCCAAGCTGGCCTAAGTGAAATCCTGTACAACCGGTGTGAAAAACAGGCGTGTCCGCAGGGTTAATCGAGCTCAGAGGAGGCTGGGCAGCTTCTGCAAGCCCCTTCCCACTCTAATAAACAAGTTTGCTTAGGCGGAAGCCCCCCGAGTTCAGAGGAGCATATTCCCAAGTAAGCCGCCCGTTTAGGATTGTGGGGTAAGTCCAGATCCAGCCCATTGTATGTGTTTTTCTGTTATTTTTCCCTGTCCCACAAGGATCAAGACTGGCATCCGCTAAACCCTGGCGATCCTATGTTTTTAACGCTTGAAGGAACAACTATCCCATACGAAGGCGATGCCACAGTGTACCCAACCTTTGTGAACGAGGCTGCTTATTACGAAAAGCAACAAGCGTTTGTCAAAACTGTAAAAGAAAAGCTGAGTGCAAGAGGCATCAGAACCTTAGAACTGGAATAATTTGTCCGTTCCTTTTGAAATCCGAGGGCTAGGTCTATTGTGGACGTGTTTTGCCTTTCGAACCAAGGTGGCCGAAATATGGAGCTGTAACTCAGAAATTGTAAGAAATATGTAACGTACAGGAATATGCAGAGCACTTTGAAAATGATAATGCACTAGCCAAAAAAAATAATCCCAGGCATTAGTAGCATGAATGTGTTTCAGCATTCTTTTTACAAATACTAAAACCTTTTCTTAAAAGCATTTTTGATAATATGGAAATACATTTTGTATTTAATGTGTTCTATAAGGAGAGAGAAAAGGGCAATGGAACAATTTCAGCTTGTGAAGATTTTATGTCAACAGTATTTTATATCAAGGAGGGGATCCCACTGTTTGGACAAGCAACTGATCTCTTTCTGTCTGCTATGCATTTCTTTCCCTGGACCACAGGGGGTTCCTGTACTTGTTGATACCAACCTCCAGGAATACCTTTCATCCTTTAAAAAAAAAGAAGTTTATTTATTAGCAACTACTGCTATTTATTGGTGCTATGTTTTAATAACTGGAGCAAAGCAATATAATTAAATGCTAGTGAAATGCACAGGTCTAGAAAGTTATTTTATTTCTCGTATTTGCAGTAAATGCTTCTTTAAAACATCGAACAGAAAAACGTCCATACATTCAAAGTAAATATTGCTTTAATTCTTCTCTTTTCTTTCTTTTGGAAAACTTCTCCTGCACGGCTATTATTAGGCCCCACCCCAGAGTGCCGACCAGAAAGCAGAGAGAGTATCTATCTACAAAGAAATAAACTGATATAAAAGACTTCCAGAAACCTGGCCCATTACAGAATTTTGCAGGGAGGTTTGGATGTATAAAATAATATTTGAAGGCATCTCTTGGTACCATTTCAAAACATCAACAAAAAGAAACAGACATTCTCTCAGGATCCAAGGCTATACAGAATACACATTCTGCAGGAATATCTAAATAAATACTGTGTGTACAATGGCTCTGTTTGCACATAACACTAAAACATGGTTTCTGTTAACTGTGGTTTATAGTTTTAGCCAAGAATTGTCTTGCAGATAAGTAAACAACCCATTGCTTGTTTCCCCTATTACTGGCTTGTTTTTTCTTCTGCTCATTTTGGAAGACTTTAGAGCAATTTTGATTTCCGGAAGCCAAACTTGTTAGTCCAACAACTGATCAAAGTTCTACTTGTGGTTTATACCTGGCTAAGAAACAATGGTTTGTTTGCACGTCTGCGCTTAGACAAAATGACAAGCCATCCTCAGCAAACGATATCACAGCTTAGTGTTATATGCAAACCAGGCTATTATAAATGCACATTTCCCCTTCAGAAGAAAAGGTCTGTGCCTTTCAAATCTTCTGTAATGGCGTGGCTGTCCTTTTCCCACCCCTTTCCTCTGCCACCCTGTCATCTGAGAACCGGCGTGGTGTCATGGATAAGAACACGGGACTGGGACTTGGCTGATCCGAGTTCGAGTCCCTGCTCAGCCACGGAGCCGAGTGGGTGACTGGGCCAGTCACAGACTCTCAGCCCAGCCTGCCTCCCAGGGTCTTTGTCGTGGAGCTAAGATTGGGAGGAGGAGGAGGAGCCTGATGTAAGCCGCTCTGGCTTCTTTGTAAGAAAAAAGGCGGGCTGTAAATCTAATAAATAAATAAATAAGCCGGCCTGCTGCAGGTGTCCAAGTAAACAAGGAGAGGTCTGGGAAGGCGGCAGCAGCCCAGCACTGAAGGCTTCACACTGTGGTTCCGCTTCTGAAATGTGAAATCGGAAAGGACTGGACAAGGTTTCATCCTTGTGCTCTAGTTCGCACCCATTCAGTGAGTGCGATGCAGGTCCACGAATACAAGTCTCGAAGGCCCCCGGGACTCGGGGAATAGCAGACAAATCAACCAATCTTCCAAAAGGAGTGAGACGGACGCCGTGTCACGCTGGCAAACCCGAAACGTGTTCGGCACAACCTTTAACCTTTGTTTAGCCTTGTTTGGCACTCTTCGAAAGCCGAGGCGCTTCCTGGCAGGGACGGAGGCCAGGTGGCCACAGGGTGGGGGAGAACGGGGCGGAGGCGAGGCCGAGCGGCTCCCGGCCGCAGGTTTCCCATCTTCACTCTCGGGGCACCCGTGGCCAAAGCCCAGCACCCCCTTCACCGCTGGCGCTCGTGCAGATGTGCCCTCGGAGCCTCAGTCTGTCCTTGAGGCCCCTTCTTCCGCCCGCCGCAACGGTCGCACGTTCCTTTCCACGCCACAGCCCATACTCCCCCATCCTACACTGGCTCCCCTCACCTGCTCGCCATTCAGGCAACCGCCGGGCATCCTGCCCTTGGTCCGAACGCCGCTCCAGTCACGCTCAGGACGGCCAATTCGGCGAAAGGTGGCAGCAACACCAAGCTACTCAGAATTCCTGCCATTGCGCCGTCTTCCACATTCTCTCCTCATCAGGTGAGCGGCTAAACAGAGGTTTCGGGCAAGTCGTATATTTCCTCGTTCGTATTCAGTGTGATTTTGCTGTTACTCCTCGACGTTTCTTGCATTCTGCTGTAATCTAACAGAAAACAGATTGCAGGAGTATCAGGCAGAGTTTTGCGGCCGTTTCTAATCAGCTGGCACTTCTCATTTATTTTTTATTTATTTAAAGCATCTCTATGCCGCCCCCCCCCCCCATCGCGACAAAGCCTCAGGGCGGCTCACTTAGGCGTTAAAGCTGCCGTCCCGCTCTGTGGGAGTGGGCCAGCACCGGGGGCAATTAATTGTGAATTAATTGTTAATTCCTAGACAGATTTGATCAGCGCGCATGTGGGTACAGGTATACACAACTGTACCTGTCAACATTATTTTTCTGTAAGCTGCCCAGATATTTTAAAAAGCTAATACTAATCACAGAGGACAGCCATGGCTTTGTTTTTAAAAGCGGTTCCTTCAAGTAGAATCATGGGATGTTACCTGTGGGGCCTGGGTCTTCACTGATGAACGCTACGTGTGTTTTCCATTCTGTCCATTTGACTTCGTTAATCCTAGACGATACAGGGCATATAATTTTCATCATTAATGTGCTTTCTCTGTACTGTCACTGAAACACTTCATGCTTCAGTTTCCAAACCATGTGTCAGTATTTATTTCAGTCCGTGGAAGTTTTGGCAATGCACAGAAAAGCAAGATAGTGGTTAGAGCTACCTGAGCTATCCAAGACTGGGCCTGCTTACAGGTGAACTGCCCTGGCTTGTCCACCCACATGTCCTGGGGCAGGTTCACACGATCCTGGCACCCATTTGAAATCCTGCCCTGCCCAGGATTCCTAGTCCGGCCTCTGTTGTTTTTCTTGTGGACAAAATCCAACTTTTTTTTTTTTAGAAGTATGGAAGAGAAATGTGCTCTCCACAGGTGACTGTGCCCAACTCACCTGTCTTTTTGAAGAAAGGTGGTGCCAACCTATCAAACCCGTGACCCTATCTCAGCACAGATTAAGTCTGTGATGTAGGATTCACCCCATTCCACATAAGCTGTGCAAAGTGGACCCCATTTTGATCACCCACCCCTTTTGATGCTCATTTTTAAAAGCATTTTTCTGCCTATTTGGTTTCAAAATGGAGACACACCAGGGCGTCCAGCGATCGCGACACGGTGGCCTCCTTACCTTAAGCATAACCGGGTGTCTCCTTCGGCCACTTTGCACCATTCTCCAAGTTGGAATTTCCTCCGCAGGAATTTTGGCAGAAGTTTCTCTGTCTCCACGATCGTCCTTGCTCTCTAGCCAAGACAACAGTCAGAGGAGAATGTTAAAAATGGGTTTCCATTTGTGTGTATGATGACCTCAGCTGATCGAAAGGGAGCAACGGAAGGGCTCTTTGAAAGAGATTAAATACCAAGCCAATGCATATTCAAGCCGCAGCCTATAGAATTCAACCGTCTTTTGGAATAAGAAGGACTATTTAGCTGTTACGCGAGTGTTCTGGGAAGCTTTTAGCAAAGAGCACCAAAGAAATGGGAAGGTTATAAACAGAAATGTTATTAATGAATAAATGTAGGCACCCCTAAGTGAAGCCCCCTCATAAATTCAGAATTTGCCAGTGTTCATGCCTGCCCGCCACATCAGGAAGCCAGACCCCCCCGCTCCGCTGCTGCCCGCCCATTATTTTCGACCACGGCTCCCAGTTTTCCCAGCCACTGGCCATGCTGGCTGTGGCAGATAGGACTGGGAGCCCAGCATGCCAGGCTGGGAAAGGCGGCTCGAAAAGGGCCCGATCGCCTCCGTCCCCAGACGTCCCGGAACACACCTGCAGCCTCCAGATGTGCTCGCTCTCCTTGGATATGTCCTCCACCGTCTCGCCCATCAAGGCGATCAGCATGTTGAGGAGGAGGACGAAGGTCAGGACGACGTAGGAGATGAGGAGCAGGAGAAAGAGGATCGGGTACGTCGCGTTCTCGTGGATCTCCAGGTCGCCCAGCCCAAGCGTGAGCTTGAAGAGCTCGATCAAAACACTGCCCAGAGTGCTGTAGCTGCTGCACTTGCTGTCCTCGGGGCAAGTTTCGATCAAGGCTGCGAGGGCTGGGTTCGAAAAAAGGACAAAAGGGTCGGGCTTTCGGTTTGATACCTCTTTGTGCAGCTGTCCCTGCAGCCAGCGTGGTCCGTGAGCAGAAAGGTGGGCGACTCCAGGACAGGGAAGCCCGTTGCAGGTAAACCCACAGGACCAGAGAAGACTTCCGCCTCCCGCCGAAGAATACGAGTGGATCACCTCATCCGGCAACCTGCGACTGTACTGGGCAAGGAGTCCCAGCGTTCCCAGCTAACCCTTTGCAGTAAATACTGGAGTATTTTCTACCCGAGCAGCCAGTGGAACAGTGTCAAAAATACTTAGATTTATCCCTAACTCTATCCTTAAACAAAGCAACAGATCAAGTCATGTATCTGGCAAGATGCTGTTCAAGAAGTACCAAAGCCTTTGGCAGAAATGGGTCCGTTTGAAACAAGGTTTGTTTCCTGCATCTCCAGCAATGTTGTAGATCGTCATCAGGAGATAAGACTTCAGTTAAATCATATCTTACAGCTATTTGGGATTGAAATGTAAGCAGATGCAAGCTTTCACCTTTCACAGAATGCTTCATCAGGCCAGAGGCATAAAAGAGTTCTGTGTAATCAGAGAAGTCTGCCAAACTTCCCCTAATAAAATATACTATTTGATCTGCACTGCATCTTGTGCCTGCTGGATTCCAGCGCGCACAGTGTCCTGCATCGAGTCCTGAGGTTTCTGGGCAGCTCTTCCTCCAGCCCAGCCTAGAGATGCTGGAGACCAAACCTGCGTGCAATGCAGGGGCCTACCCCGCGCCTACAGCCCTGGAGGCTGTGAAAGGAAGGGGGTCATTCCAGGAGACCTGCAGAAGGACAATCTTTACCCTCCTTCCCTCTTCCCCTTTTTTCCTTGCGTGCTTTGTCTTTCTAGCTCATAAGCTTGCTGGGCAGAAAACTACTGATTTTATGAATGCTGCTCTTGGAACATCTGGGGCTGAAGAACTGGATAAAAGCACTGTATGCGTGGTGGCCCATGAAAGTCATAAACCTATTTTTTTTCCGCCTCTTGCAGCTTTCCCTGGCTTAGTTTCCAGCAGCCCATAACACAGTTGTGATGTGGCAGGCTAACAGTTGTGCAGCGTGTACCTGAGGCAGCCTCTTTTCAATACGCAAAATATTTTCACGCAAATACAAGAGCCAGCGAATTCCGCTTACCTACACCAAATCCGAGCAGAAACACCATGTAAACCGCAATGAACTTTATCACGTCGTTCAAGATGACCTAAAATGGGAGAGAAAAACATCTTGTCGTGATGACCTGGAGCGATGAACATTCATCACTACGCTGGGCCAGACCTCCCTCTCCGGATGCCCCCCGTGATGGCAAGGGATGATGGGAGCGCTAGTCCACCAGCCTGCAGGGGCCCTGGGTTCAGAAAGACCAACGATGCCTCCCCAGGCCTTCGCTGCAGCCCCCGCGGGCGCCCCGGGGCCCTCTTGCCACCCCCAAACTGAGCTGCTCTTGCAAAATGAAGCGGGCAGTCAAGAGCCCTTCCTGGGAGCTGGTCGCATGTGGCAAAAGCCAAGCCGGGGCTGCACGCGCCCGGAGCCGGAGGCCCACTCCCAGCCCGCCGGGCGGGCAGCCTGGCCCGAACGGGAGGTGAAGCAGGGGGCCAGCTGACCGACTGACTCACCTGCTGAACCATGACGCTGTAGATGCCCATCGACTGCAGCCCCCGGGTGAAGTACAGCATGTTGGCCCAGCCCAGGGACATGGCCAGGACGAGGCAGACCAGGTGCTCCTTGTAGGAGAACAGGTACAAGCACACCGAGAATATGACCAGCACGGCCTGTATGAAGCTGCCCGGAGCGGCGGCGGAAAAAAGGAGGAATCCCAGCATCAGAAACGGGCCAGATTTGAGCTACTATTCGTTGCCTTCGGATTCCCAGGCCAGCACACATCTGGCTGGGGATCATGGGGGAGGTGGTCCTATCTCCCACGCTAGGGAAGGAAGCTCTTGACGCACGCAATTAGGTGTGCAAGTCACACACAATGAGCGTGCCGGGTGTTGCTGCCCTCTCCTTCCTCTGCTGTCGGCTCTGTGGCCAATTATAAACCCCTCCCGGCAGAGACCCCCCCTCAAAAACAGCCCCTAACAGAGTGATAAAGGGGGCACACTTTTCACTTGCCAGCGTTGACACAACTTCACTTCCCAAGTTGGTGCTCAGGGCCCACAATTCTTGGCCCTTGGGCTGTCTTGCTCTGGCATATCCCGAAGCTGACCAGAGATTTAAGACTTTTCGCACAAACATACTAGAACAACTGCCTTTCCTCCTCGTCTGTTCCTCCCACTCAAAACTACAGGCCTCTGAAGCACCTCTTAGCATGAAAGAAAGCAGGCAATTAATGCAGCAGCCCTCCCATGTACTTCAAGGCACACAACACGTGCGCAATTAACTCTACAGCACTTTGAATGCAAACCCGTGATGGCAAAGCCTTGTTTAGTGAACTGAAGGCAGAGGAAAGCAAATACCGGTCCCAAGAAATACCCGTAACAAAGTGTGTTTCAGCAGAATCCAGGTGCTGTGCATTTTTAGAAGTCAGGGTTTGGTTGCGGCTGCAATTTGCGGAGTCTAAAAATAGCATGCATCCAGATTTTAGCCACTCTCTCAGTGTGTGCAAATTTGCATGTCTGTATTACATGTAGAACTGGATTCTTACTTGAGGGAAAAGACCCACAGAGGGAAGGAGTGGGGAGGCAGTTAAAGAGAAGCATTTTCTGCGAGCCGAAGCACCGGCGCAAGCAAAGAGCGGGGTGGTCATTTGGATTCTCATGCATGGCTTACAATGCGAAGTGAAACCAGGCGTCTGAGAGGATTGATTGGAGGTCGGACGGCCTCAGCAGGACAATGGCCACACTCTGAAGGCAGAAACACAGAACAGCTTTTTAACCGGCACAACATCGGAAAAACTGCACTGCGATTGCTGGCGCCAGTATTACGGTCTTCATGCAAGGCACGGTCAGGTATGTGCAGAATTCTGGACTCTGGATTCTTGGACTCTTTTTCTTTTTTTTGTAAGATAAACTTTCTCGTCATTAACACAGACAGTCGGCAAAGCCCTCCCGACTCACTGCCTTCCGAATGCGTTGGACCAAGGCTGATGCATCATTGGGGCTTCTCACCAAGCAGTAACCGTGTCTCGGAAAGACGTCACGGAAGCAGAGAGTTCAGAGTCCCGGATGGCGCGCTCACCTCTTTGATGGCGATAAATATGGCTCCGAGCATCACCGTCACTTGGCTGGCCAGCTGCAGCCAGCCCAGGTTGCTGGTCAGCACTAAAGGGTATGGAGGGGGCTGGAGAGAAGGGGGGGGGACAAGAGAAGGACCCAGGAGAACCGTCACTGCGCCGCTTTCCCGTTCCTTTTATTTCAGTCTGCTTATTTCTAGGGTGTGATCCTATTCTTTATTTATTTAGGATTTTTTTATGCCGTCCCATTGCTTATAGTCTCGGGACGGCTCACATAAAATAAACAAGCATAGTAAAATGATACAATTGAAAACCAAGAATCACCCTGGCCGCAAAATTAAAACCTATCGATATTATGAAGAGTTATTAAAATATAGAATAATTATATTTATATAAAATCCTATGCGCATTCAGCTGTTGCAGATGGGGCATGCTGGGAGTTGTAGGCCCATCCTGTGCCTCAGCATCCAGAGGACTGTGCTTGCAAGGGACTTTTATCCAAAAGGCCTCCGGGGCAGCTTCCATGTAATCAGCAAAATAAGATACCCTCGGCCACAGGATAAAAAGACCCTTGCCACAAGGAAAGAAGGGGTGGGGGTCAGATGAGGGGGGAAAGCTATTTATCCCCTGTTTTTCGAGCTTAGGGTGATTTTCATAGTCTTGTCTCGCATTCATACTTTTCATGAATTGGTGATTTTTGCTTAGAAATCTAACAAATCATAAATAAATATTGTTTCTAAAAATGCGAACCCCGAAAATGAAATGGAAATTGTTTCAAAAGCAAGGTGGGCCAAGATTTAAATAGATGAGTGATGCCCCGACTGGGTATTTTTACACTGCAGAAGAGGCGATCAAAAGCCACCCTCAAAGAGTTGACGAGCTGTGACATAAAAAGACGGAGAGGCAAACAAATATTTTGGTTGCTCCAGCAGGTAAGAGCTCAGCCATGGAACCGACGTATGAAAAATGGAGCTTCAGTTTAAAATCAGGACGATGTCTTGAAAAAGGTCACTGTCCCATGGTGGAAAACAGGCTTGGAATGCGGTGGACTCGTCTTCGTTAAGCAGAGACTGAATGCACCATTTTTACAAATCCCCCAGGCCCCACCTATGGAATGCGCTCCCCAGAGAGGTCCGCCTGGCGCCGTCGTTATTTGTTTTTCGGCGCCGGGCCAAGACCTTTTTATTTAAAGAATATTTTAATTGTTGATTGTATTTATTGACTTTATTCTAGGCCGGGATGTTCCAGATTTTTAATGTAAATGTACAATTATTTATTTGTTCTGCAAGCCGCCCCCAAGGCTTTTGCGATGGGGGCGGCATATAAATGTGTCAAATAAATAAATAAATAAATAAATTTGTCCTCTGGGCTTGAGATTTATGTAGTTTTGGCACTCTGCTCCCACCAGTCCCCCTCTTTCCAGCCCCTACAAATACCCTGTACTCCTAACACAAACCCACAGGGTACCGTTGTATAAGTAAACACAGAAACATCTGTGCCGGTCAGGAACCTCTGGGGTTGATCGACTCTGTGCGATTCCGGCTCCGTCCTGGGAAACGTCGGAGGAGACGGACAGTGCCGCTTACCGTTTCTGTGTGGGGCCGGTAGTAGGAGATCAAGGTCAGCATCACATTGTAGATGAAGTAGAAGCAGCAGGAGAGGAAAAACATGTGTCGGGCGAAGCGTTTCCATTTCATCCGCAGCAGCGAATGCAGCGGCTCGAGGGCCAACATTTCGTGGCGGTTCTGCAGAGAGAGGAAGAGGGCAGTTTGCGCAGGTAAGAAAAAGGAATGAAAAGTTCAGTGCTTGGGGAATGGTCGATGAGAGACCGCAAGTGCGTTTTTTGCGGGAAGAGTGACTGGATGCCAGTGGCATGATAACGTTAAGCAGGGCGGCAGGCCGAAGCTGGTAGGTTAATCAACTCGAGTGTGAGTTGATTGATCCAAGACATGGGTGTTTTCATGGCATTCCTATTGGAGGGACCCGGTTTCACACAGATTGGAAAAGACCTCAAGACGGCAAACGTGTTAAGAAAATTGGCACAGCTGTCGTCTTGCCAAGGCGCACCCCACAAAGGGGAGCTGCCCTGAAACAGTCATTTTATTCCCCATAGCGTCCAACTGACCGGCTCCAACGCTGCCTGCTGGTGGCAGAGGTTTGCCTTCAGTGGCTGCAGATGTGACTGCTGGCTTTCATCACAGCTTGAAATTAAAAACCGCACTTTGGAAACAAGATGGGTGGACCTGCCCCTCGCATGGCATCCCTGCTCTCTAAAGGCCTTGGGACTCACCCCGATGTTCGTGTTATAGACGATGATGTCCAGCAACGAGTTGTCCCAGGTTGTGTCCAGCTCCGTCAGGTCGTAAAGGGACGACTGCACAGGGCCATAGGCCCAGTCGGTGAACTTGCGGGAAAGGCTCCGGACGGGCTTCTCCTTGATCTCCCTGCCGAGGATGTACTTCAGGATCTAAAGGGCCGAGAGCGAGGCATGAGCCAGAGCACCCGAGCTGACGGGCAGCGTGGAAGAGGAGGCCAGTGCGGGCCCAAGGATCACTGGCAGGGCCCACCACCGGCTGCCCCCCAGCCCCGCTAAAGACTGACCCGTTGGGAGGCCCCGGCCCCCCCACACACACGGCAGAGGGTTCCCCGGGCACACCTCCAGCTTCCCGGTCTTCGCAGCCAGCTGCAGCGGCGTCAGGCCATCCTTGTTCTTCGTGGCTTCCAGTTCTCGGCTCTTGCTCCTGAGGAGGACGGCATCGTACATCCGCGTCACAAAGTCGTTCTGCGTCCGGAAGTCCTCCGAGACGGTCACCAGCGCGTGCAGGATGTTGTTCCCCCGCGAGTCCTGCGACATGATGTCCGTCTTGCTGTTTTCCATCAGAAGCTGGACGATGTCCGGCTGGTTGGTGCAGGCAGCTAATGCCAGCGGGGTTTCGCCTGGGCAGACAACGTGCGAAGGAAGGGTGTGTGATTTGAAGCATTCTCGGTGGGCCGCTTGCTCAAAATGCGGCGAACCCGTTCCCAGAGAGGCTTACGCCCCATCAGGGAAGGGACCGCCCGTGCCTGCAAGCTGACAGCATAAACTGGTACGACGCACCGAGGAAAAGGAGATGGGGCGGAGAGACAGAAGCAGACGAAGCACGGAGACGGTCAAAAGACTCGGGTCCCCTCTCGACTCCGGCAGGGGCCGGGAGAGGCACCCCGGAACGCCCCTGGCTTCTCCTCCATCGCTCATCTCTTCCAGTGCATAAGCCCAGCCTTGGGCTGCTGCGAAAGGGACCAGGCCAGGAATCCAAGGGAGGCCGGCAGGGCTGGAAGGCGCGGTCAGGAGGGAATCGCGACTACAGGGGGACAGATACTGGAACCCCAACAAAGAAGAGCTGGAAGTGGCCAAGAAGGCCCTCAGGTCCAGCCACCTGCTCAGTGCCGGAATCCCAGTTAAATCATCCCACTCAAGTGGCCGCCCAGTCTCGTTCTGAAAGCATCCGATGTGAGAGAGACAAGGCAGCCCATTCCACGGCCCTCTTGCTCTGACAGTGAGAAACTCTCACCGGATGTCAAGCCTCAATCCGGGTTGCTGCATTTGACATGTTTATTCCGTGTCCTGCACATTGACACGACCAAGAAGAGATTTTGACCGTTCTCCTTCAGACACCCTTTGAGGCACTAACAAAGGGAACAGGGGACCACCCCACAACAAGACAGGCTCCAGCCAGATTCCCCAATTTTGACCCCTCTAACCCAACTATGAGGACTCGAGTTCCACTGAAAATGAAGTGATATTGAAAAAGCCTTCCTGGAGTAGGTTTTTCTGTGCAGCTCATCATTTCTGCCCCTTCTAAACACCCTCCAACCATCGGAATCACTCCAGGACACCTCGTTTTCCTAACCCTAACCCTACCCTGGGGCACACCCTAACCCTAACATAGGGGTATAGT